AGGCTATTCAGGCTCAGGGAGTTGGCTAGGAGACATTCTCCTGTGCTGTCTTCCCTAATGTAACATCAAGCACAATAAAGGCATCTCTCAAATAAAGGTCTTTCCTTGCCTAGTTTCAGGGTGCAAGCTAAGCTGGAAACATGAAGAGAGAGAGAGAAGCCGCCGAATGCAGAGCAGCGAAGCGCGTTGGCAGGGACTTCAGCAGCCACTTGGCTGAGCTGTGGGGTCCTAGGCAACCCACCTCTGCTGGGATTCAGGACATGTACCACCACACCAGCTTTAAAATCGTGAGTTCTTATAATCTCAAGACTTACAAGAAATAATGCTACTGTACTGAAACTTAAGGCTGTATCTGAGGACTTGGGTGTTGCTAAATGGTAATGTCTGGGGAGTGAAGAATACTAACAGCCTAGCTACAACAGGATTCTTTTTCTTTGCAAATTATAACTAAAGCTTTCCCTTTATAATCACCTGAGTGAAGTACATTGCAAGGCAATAAGCCATGGAATCTAGTACTTAAATGCCTGTAAACTAGACCCAGTTTTTCTTCAATAAAAATAAGTTTAAGTTGCACTTACATGTTCTATTATTTTAATAGAACTATTTTTTAATTATCTGTAAATATAAGCAAATAATTTTAATCACCTCAATTACTAGAAAGAGCAAATCTACATATATTTAAAAGGCCAAAAGTTTTATAATTCTTCATAAATATAAAAACTACTATATCTACCTAATGTTATTTCTATTTCTAACAACCCCACATTTAACTGCATACCAAAATTCTCACTCTTCTCATGAGACACAGATGTTTACAAACACATATTCTCCTAGAAATATACATGGCAGGTTATTTTATTAAATTACTTATCATGTCATTTACCAAGCAGACAGGCATTATCTAAGCAAGGCATTCACAGTAGAAAAAACAATTCACATTCAAAATAATGAAGGGCATGCCTGGTGGCATGCACCTTTAATCCCAGCACTCAAAAGGCAGGGGCAGATGGAGCTCCATGTTGGAAGCCAGTCTGGTCAACAATAGTGAGTTCCAGGCCAGCTAGAGCTACAACAAAATCACTGAAGGAAATATACTTTATAGTTTTTAGTGGGGAAAAAAATTACAAATATATAAGAACTACACTAAGAACATGAAGAGTAATGTCAACTTGTTTACTAAACCTAGGAAAAAAACAACTAAAAATGAAGATTCAAGTTTCTCTAGTTGTTAAGACAAAGCTAGTCACTTGGAAATTATTTTGATAAACAGCTACATGATAGCAATAGGTATGTTTCCTTTGGTATTACTTAATGACATCTTGATGCTGGATAATTCTGTAAAAGATTATCTGAAGACCAAAATGAATGCAAAACATAGTCACTGTCTTCAAGTCAAAAATATTTTTTTTAAATGAAGAAAGGAATTAAAGAGATGGCTCAACCATTGAAAACCTTTATGATTCTTGCAGAGGACCTGAGCTCCGTTCTCAGGATCCATGTCTGGTGGCTCACAACAGCCTGTAACTCCAGCTCCCGGGGATCGGATGCCTCTTTTGGCCTTCCCAAGAGTGGGAAGGAGTGATGGAAGTGATGGAGGAGCAGAGCCCTAGGGCTGAGATCCATGGTGGATCATGTCATGTGCAGCAGCCCGGATCTTAAGCAGATGCAGACTCAGCCCCGGAACAAGCTGCTTGACTGGACCTCCTCAAAGGACCATTGTGTCCCATTATGCCACTGAGGGCCGTATATGAGTCGATGGCCCTGACGTGGCCAGGATCCGGTTTGATGTCCAACGACGGCGTTATCATTTAATGACATTCCCATGTTCGTGGCCTGTGCTGTGGCCTGAATCTATTTATGTCTGTGGCCTGCACTGCCATCTGAGACCGTGGTGGTGTCCAGGCTGTCACTGAGGGCCAAGTCTGGGTCCGAAGTCCTGCTACAGCCAGGTCTAAGTTGATGTCTGTAGCCCATGTCACCACAAAGGCCAAGTGGAGGTTCCTAGCCTGCACTACTGCCTAAAACCATGTTGATATCCATGGGCCACACTGCTGCAAGGGAGGTGCATACTGATCAGAATAGCCTGTGCTGCCACCTAAGGCCATGGTGATGTCTGGGTCCGTGCTGCTGCTGAGGGCCATGTCTGGGTCTGTGGCCTTACTGTGGCCAGGTCTGTGTTGATGTCTGTGGCTGTGTTGCCACCAAAAACCAGGCAGGTGTCTGTGGTCTACGCTGTGGCCTGAAACCACGTTGACGTCCACAAACAATCCCAGCTGCATTGAGGTTCTTGTCTGAGTCAATGGCCCTACTACAATCTTGAGCCCCGTTTGTGATCTAAAGAACAAATAAGCTACTTTGGCAGTGATATTGATGCCTACAGATACACAGTGAGAAAGTAGGACATGGAAGACTTCTGTGACAACCCCTACCTCCACGCCAACCATCCCCACAAAAACAGTAACAGCCTAAACAGGAAGCCATGGAAGGGAACTCTTAAAAACTGAGATAGGATGCTGAAGTGTCCCTCTCCACAACAGATGGCTTCTGCAGGGGTGCAGGAAGGGAAGGGCTCAGCTCTATTTAAGGGGCAGGCCACTGAGAACTTGACCACGCTCCAACGAGTATATGGGGGGGGGGGGCGGGTCACGAGGATGAGAGTGGGCAGGGAAGGACTGGGAAGCGAATGTGATACAGGTGTATGATGTGAAATCCCCAAAGAGTCAATAAAAATATGTTGGCAACAAACAAAAATATCCGAAACTTAGTATAATCTACAAGCAACATTAAATGGACACAGTAGGGTGTGTGTGAAAGAGAGAGAGAGAGAGAGAGAGAGAGAGAGAGAGAGAGAGAGAGAGATAAAGAACTCATGAGAGAGAGAGAGAGAGAGAGAGAGAGAGAGAGAGAGAAATAATTAAAGAACTCATGAATTTACTCCTGAATGAAATGACTCAGTAATCAAGAGCACTTGCTGTTCTTGTAGAAGAACTGAGCTCAGTTTCTAGCACTTACAAGGCAGCTTATGACCAGCCTTAACTCCACTTTCAGGGATTAGATTCCTTCTGATCTCTACAGACATGAGGTACATACAGGCCATTTACTTACATGCAGACAAACACTCATACATGTGGTGATATATTGTGTACCCTAATAAAATTTGCCTAAAGATCCGAGAACAGAACAAGCCACTAGATTAAACATAGAAGCCAGGCAGTGGTGGCTGCCTAGCACTCGGGAGGCAGAGATCTGTCTGGATCTCTGTGAGTTCAAAGCCACCCTGGACTACATGAGATTGACTCAGTCTAAGAGAGAAACACAAGGAGGCAGTAGTAGCACACACCTTTAATCCCAGCGCACGCGCACGCGCACGCGCACGCACGCACATTTAATCTCATCACTAGGAAGGAAGCAATATGGCTGGGTGGAGAAAGGTATATAAGGCGTGAGCAGATAGGAACTAGAAGCTTTTCAGCTGGAGAGCTTGCAGCTGAGGACTCAGAGGCGTTCAGTCAGATGATTCGTGGAGCTGGCGAGGAGATGTGCCAGTGGCTTATTCCTTTGTCTCTCTGATCTTTCGGCATTTATCCCAATATCTGGTTCTGGGTTTTTTATTAAAAGACCATTTAGCAATTCAAGCAACACATACACATAAAATAATTATTTTTTAGATGGGTGTCTTACTATGTAGCCCTGACTAAACTTGAACTCATAGATATCTGCCTGCATCAGATGTGGGCTACCATACCCCATTCAAAAATAAATCTTAAATAAACAAACCTTGCAAAAGAATTACCTGAAAGCCCTGTCTCAGAATGTTCATAGGCATAGAAGAGTACCCTTTACCCTCCAAATGATGATGAAAGCTATTACCTCCAATGTCTACTCTTTGATTTGCATGAAATAATAGGGAAGGTATCAGTATAAAACACGTATTTATAAAATTATAAGTCAGATTTTAAAGAGTTATCACCTAACAAACTATAAATAACTAGAAGCCTTCCCAAATCATGTCTTCTCACCAAGACCACACCACCACCAACATAATCAAAGTCACCATTAGGATCATGTGTGTAGCTACGGTATCATCACAGAAGTCTTTGAAGCCTGTGTGTCACACCACCTCCACAAGCCTCATACAAAAGCAATTATGGCATATTTTTAAAATTCTCATTGGATATTTTAGAACAAATAGATGTTCCCCACGTTTATACGCTCATAATTGACTACAATGTTATAATCTTATCCAAATTGCTTTCCCTTCAGTTTCCATGTGATACCCTACACCACGTCCTTCTACATCAAATAGGCACCTAAACAGGAATGCTCACACCTGAATCCTAACAATGACTCTCTCCTGTTTAGACCTTTGCCATCCCCCTCATTTTGCTGGCAGCATGCTTTGGTGAGATATTTAATTATAGATTCCACCATAGGACTTTCATTTGAGAGTATAATATAATTACATTTCCCCCTTTACTTACCATAGGATTTTTTGCTTTTCTTTGAAAATAGGAAATTGTCTGAAGGTGATTAAGATCTACCCGACTCAGAAAATGAGGTGGAAAATACCAATCTCAACACTGAATTTTTTAAATTCTCATACAAGCCTTAGCCTTTAAACAAAACACATAATAAAAAGCTTTCTGAGCTCATAAATATGAAAAGAAGTATTTCTTACCATGTGGCTAATTTATATTAAGGAGACAGAGAGGAAAGCAATTGTGAGTTAGAAAGCCTTGCTCTAAATAATACTGAACTGATGAGCATTTTAGAGATTTGATTTCAAAGTTATTTTTAAGTCTAATAGGCTTCAACACTCTGAATGAACTGTTAGAGGCATTGCTAACAGTGTGATAGAAGGCTGCCACTCATGCACACTGAAACAAACAGCAGTGAAACAGACATCCTGAAGTCAGTGACTTCCTCCCAATAAGCAATAAACAGTCCAATAAGAAAAAGCCAAGTGTGTGGATAATTATTACAACACTGTGTTAACCAACCTCCCTAGTCCCGCGCAATGAGCTCACAGAAGTCATGATGTGCACAGGCTGGATCCTTCGCTGCTTCCATTCTTGGTTTAAGGTTTCTGTTCTTTCCAAAATTTTCTGACGATTGGAACTAAACATAGTCTTTTAAAAACAAACAAATTGACCATTGTTACAATATGTAGCATCTCTAAAGCAGGTTAAAACCTAGTGAATCCTCCAATACCGTGACCATGACCGTGTCCTCAAGCGTACACAGACTTTATGATACATTAGTTTCACACATTCTAATAAATACAAAAACATCATTCCTGTTACTTCACTGTAAGTGAGAGGGAACAGGAAATTATTTCCATCCTCTCTTTGTTTAACTTTGTATTTCAGAAATCACAATGACTTTAGAAACAAATGTCTTTGTGTTTGGGCCCTGAGTCTACACAAGCAGTGCAAAGGTATACTGAAAAGACTAATTTCCAATCAGGCTAAATAATTTTAGACTAAAATATTTGTTACCATTAATGAGTATGATACACATTTTTTTTTTCATTTTTGAGGATCTCATGTATCTCATGCTGACCTCAAATTCACTTAAAGATCATCCCAGGATGTGTACATGCTACAGCACTTTGATGGAGGTCAGAGGATTTGTGTGAATTGGTTCTCTCCCTTCACCATGAAGGTGCCAAGGATCAAAATCAGGTCAGCAGGCTGGGCAGCAAGTGCCTTTACCTGATGAGCCTTCCCATCAGCCCAATCTTGAACTCTGATCCTCCTGCCTCTACCTCCCAAGTGCTGGGATTAAAGGCACACACCACTATACCAAGCAGCCATGATGTAATTTTAATTAGAGAGATCAAGGACCATGGCTTTCAAGTCTTCATCGATTTCACCGTAAATATGAACCTGACTGAAAATGTATCGTCTCAGAGTAAAACTATTTCACTCGGGGGAATGGAGGAATCTTTCAATTATATTTGCAACTTTGTAAAAGATTAAAATTACCTTTACTTCATCAGCTCTTCTGAACCTCTTCAGCTGTCTCAGTCTCATGTACTCTGATTTTACACGCTTCCGCCAACAAACCGGTCCCTTCTCAGATTTCTTCCCAGTCTGGCCCATGATTATTCTAAAAGCAATGATTTCATATTAAAATCACTTATCTCATCAGTTGAATGTGATCTTTTAATCCCAAGCAAACTGACAGAACAAAATATTTTTGCTGTTGATATTTGTGGAGAAATGCCTGTATGTTCTGTATGGTTAAATCCTGGAAATGTGTCATTGGATGTCACTCATTTAATGACATCTTTTAAAGCATATTTTTATCTCTAAACAGTCTACAATCCTAAATAGTAGTGGGTTTATAGAATTGTGATCTCATTACAGAAATTACATATGCTATATCACAAGCTAGTTTTTACTCGTAAGTGTCACATTTTTAGAGGGAAAAAAATGTAAAACATGTTGTTCGAATCTTAGATGGTCTTTTAATAAAAAAAAAAAAACCAGTACCAGATATTGAGGTAAAAGCTGAGGGATCAGAGAGGCAGAGCAAGCCACAGCCACCACCTATTACCTCACCAACTCCACAAATCCTCTGACTGAAATCCTGAGTCTCCACCAGAAAGGTTCTCAGCTGAACTGCTTTTAGTTCCTGTTTCCTCACACCTTATATATCTTTCTCCGCCCTAAAGGGTGTGTGCTTCCTAGTACTGCAATTAAAGGTGTGTGCCACCACTGCCTGGCTGTTTCCAGTGTGGCCTTGAACTCAGAGATCCAAACAGATCTCTGCCTCCGGAGTGATAGGATTAAGGGTGTGTGCCACCGCTGTCTGGCCTCTTTGTCTATCTACTAGCTGGCTCTGTCCTCTGATCCTCAGACAAGTTTATTAGGGTACACAATATATCATCTCAAAAACATTAAGTTTTTAGTTATTAAAAAACTATTATAGGGGCTAGAGAGATGGCTCAGTTATTAAGAGTACTGGCTGCTCTCCCAGAGGACCCAGGTCCAATTCCCCACATGTCGGCTCACACCCACCTTTAATTCCATTTCTAGGGATCTGACACTATCTTCAGGCCTCCTCAGGCTTCAGGCACACAAATGGTGCCCAGATATAACATGTAGGCAAAACACCCACACATACAAAATAAAATACGTTTTTTAAAAGAAGCAATGTATAACTGGTACGTTCCTCACATCCAGGCTTCACATTTATGGGCTTAACAAATCTCTGATCAAAAATATTCAAGAAAAAAATATTTCCAGAAAATAGGAAACAAAGCAAAACTTGAATTTGTTACACACCAAGTACTATGCATTCGATTAAAAAAGAAGAAGAAGACAACGTATAAGTCTGCTATAGTCCCGGCCACTCCACAGATTCCCAGCCACTCTCCACCACTTAGAGCACTGTCCACCCCACATCTCACTCACCACACAGCCAGGCCTGACAAGCCCCTCTATGGTGAACATGCACAAACTTCTCGTCACTTTCCCTAAACAAGACTAAACAACAAACAATGCAGCCACTATTTAACAGCATCTGTGTTGTCTAGTTACTGTAAGTATACCACAGAAAACTGACGTATATAGAAGACAGGCACAGGCCATGTCAATCATCTCGCCATTTATAGAAGGAGTCCACGGATTTCAGTATCCAAAGGGCTACTTCAATCAGTCCCCTCAGACATAAAGGGACCACTGTAGTTGCAAAAAATGAAAGTGAAAAGGTGCATTTCACAAGCACTAAGAGTCGAAAAGGTACAGGATAAGAAGGACAAATGAGGGTCAGGTGCGGTGCATGCCCTTGATCACAACACCTGGGAGGCAGAGACAGGCAGATCTCTGAATTCGAGGCCAGCCTGGTTAAATAGGGATAAATCTCTCTCCCCCCACACACACCAGACCACACTTCTCCATCCAAATACCGTGATGGTGTCTTTGCCTCTGGTGCTACGTTCATTCACACGTAGGGTTTTGTGAGCAAGAGGAAAGAAAGGGGCAGCAAATGCAAAGGAAATGCTCCTACTTTATCTTCAGCTGTAGACTCTGAGCCAGTCATATGTGACAGTGGAAACTAGCTACAGTTCAGACATATAAAACATACTAGAGCCCGGACCTGAAGTCTAAACCAGTGTCCTTTTCTAGAACATTTTCTTATGCGAGTATTAGAACCACACTGTGTCTTCAAGAGATTACAGGAACATTTCTGTCTAGCTGTATGAGATGTTATGATTTTCAAATGTACCTTAAGAGCAATAGGACACCAGAGTGTTGCGTAAAAGGAGAGGTGGGGTGATTCACATGCTGAAGAGACTAGGCTGGCAGCCATATCAAAACGGGAGCGGGGATGGAGGAACTGAAGAGTAACCGTGTGGCCGGGCGAGGGCCGCCACCCAGCCATCTCTGGAGCAGGAGACCAGTTTAGACCACACTGGAGACAGAACAAAAGTGATCACTTCGTCCCCAGCTGACTGGCCAGGAAGAGGGGAGAAACTACAGGTGGGAGGGAGTCCCGGGCGACGCGCCTCTGAAAGTAACACTTTCTTTTCAGGTGCCGCCCTGGTCTCGCTGCTTCTTGTCCATCAGAAGGTGAAGAACTGACTCCTCCACAATTCCCAAACTCCACCACTGTCATATTTACACTTAAAATCACAATTTTCCCTGTAAACCACCCCCACTGTAAATAAATTTGTCACTATCAAGAACAGGGTTTTGCCCTCTCCTTTCCACTCCTTCCTCCCGTCGGCCCCCTCTCTCCCTCTCCCCATCCCTCTCTCGCTCAGAAGAAAAAAAGAACAGGTTTTACTCATTTATAAAATCTCAGTGACTGTCTCTGTGTCTAGTAGTAATGGACTTGAAAACACACACAGGTTAATTAGTAATGTAAAGTGAGCGTGAGTACTCCTGCATCTTCCTAACACATCATTTGTAAGGTTTAGCTCTGCTACAAGGAAAAAAGGGAAGAGTGGACATCTTGGACTATCCATGCAGAAGCCAGAAATAATGAGGAAAAGGAAAGGAAAGAAAAGAAAAATGAGAAAAAGAGATGGGGGGAGGGGAGAAGAAAGAAACAAAGAAAAAAGAAATGGCCCAATTCCCAAGAAATGAAGAGAAAAGGAGTATGACTCTCAGGGACACTCGGGATTCTGGGTGAGCTGTCCTAGTGAGAACACTTGAGCCCTACCGCCAAGCAAAGAGCAAAACCAATTTTAATAAGTGCTCAGTTATAAGAACAAAAAATACATGCACCCCCCACCCCCACCCCCACCATAAACTACTTTGGATTAGGTTTTCTAACAATCACTGATGGTATCTGACATTCTACTTATGTATACAATACTTGGTATTGAGACCATATATACAATTACATCTCAAGTCATGTTGGGCAGCTTTTCAAAGCCTGCTCCGTTACCATCACCACAAAGAGCAGCGACCTCTGCTCTCCACCAGGAGCTTTCCCCATCTTCCTTCTGTGTCCCACGGTGATGGAAGCCCCTGTGAAATGGCCAGAACACTGCTTTCTACCTCTCGGTGACCAGACAACACAAGCCCAAGGACTCTACATTCTTCCTAAGGAAATCAGGTGCAAACCCACACCATGGAAGACAAGTCTGCCTAACCGACTCTCCTGACCCTCCTCACCCAGCTGCCAACAGGCTAGCAAACTAAGAGAATTGAAACAAACTAAGTTCCAAAACACAGTATTGTGGCCCTGATACCTTCTTTAAAGTTCTTGCCAGTCAAGACAGCAGTTATTATTTTCTCTTCCTAATAAATGTTTCTTTTTCTACTTGACTGGAAAACTGAGATAAACTACATGAACTACTTATCTTTCCAACTAAATTAGCAGCTCTAACAATGACTCTTAACTAAATACCAGGCTAAATAAGGTCAAATCCAAACCCAAAAGAAGCAGGATTACAATATTCTCAGTGACTTTTCCTTTAAAAATACTCTGGCTTTTCTGTGTCAATATCACCCCCGAAAACACGGTGAGTGACCTAAGACCCGCTGGACTTTCTGTAAGAAACGTGGCGAGCATCAGCCCTGAGATGTGCCGCAGTCCAGAAGGGCAGGGACTCCACATGCCCAGGGGAAGGTGCTGTGACAGGAAACAGGGTAGCGACAACGGGCAGGCTAAGCCCGTTTTCTGAAAAAAGACACCTCATCTTTCAAATTGCCCTAATGGATAAGGACTGGGTGGGTCACCCAATAAGTAATTTGAAATTTTTTCTTTTCTAGAATATGTACGGTGCAACTTTCGTTTTTTTAACTACAATGATAAATTACCTAAGAACTGGCAACCAGTAAGCTCAAACTAGACGATTAACATTTTTTAAATTTATTTACTTCCTTAAGGCTTTGTTTGTTGAGACAGGCTCTCACTATGTAGCCCAGGTTAACCTCAAACTGACACTCAGCCCCCAATGCTAGGATTACAGGGATGAACCACTAAGACCTAGCTACACCCTCTTGACTATGATCTTTTCTTAATGGTGCTAAAGAGTACAGCAAGCCTTCATGTGTGCTATATGCTAAGCAAGCACATTACCATTGAGCGATATTGCTATATATAGTTAACAAATTGTGACTTGTTTCAAACCAGCGAGATGGACCTGACAATGCAGGAACCTTAAACTATTACCTCCGGCAGATGGCCTGTAGGCAGGTCTCTGGGTCATTTTCTTGATTAACGCTTGAGGTGAGAGGGCTCGGCCTCCATGGAAGGTACCCCTCCTGGGCAGTGTAAAAAAGCAAGCTGAGCAAGCTACAGGGGCAAGCCATTCACTGCAGTACTCCAGGGTCTCCTCTCAGTTCCTGCCTCTGGGTTCCTGACTTGAGTTCCTGCCCTCAATTCCCTCAGTGATAGACTGTGACATAGAAATCCAGGTCAAATAAGCCCTTTCTTGCTTTTGGTCAGAATGTTTTATCACGGCAACAGAGAGCAAACTAAGACACCAACAAAATACCACTTTATCAGCAGCACCTCCTAGAGACTATTATTTGTATTTAACAGTGGAAGGAAGCCGCAGTGAATGCCTGTAATCCTCAGCACTAGCAAGACATACAGCAGGGCAAGGAGTTCAGGACCAGCCTCAGCTACATGAGACCATATTCTCA